TATGGACAGCGCTCGGGCTTTAAAAGACGTCGAAAGATTTGTTTCCGTAAGAATTTGAATCAAATAAGGAAACCAAAATATTTCCGCCGAATATGTACTATGCTATCAATGCTATAACATATTTTTATGGAACTTGGCCCTGAAACTTGCCGAAAATCACCATTCGATTGCATAGAAATACCTAATATGCAACCGCATAGTGTTGATAAGATTTTAAAAGTTGCGTTTTAGTCCCTGAACTCATTTTCTTGTTTATTGACATATTTTCTCATTTCTTCTTCTTCCAATACTTCATTTCTTCACTAAATTGGCCTTCAAATCCTTCACATCTTCATTTCTTCTCCCGGGTCATCTTTCAACTATTTGTGCTTTGGTCCCTGAACTTTTTTTTCTCCATTTTTCAGTTGTTTATCCTAAATTTTGTCATATTCATCAATGTTGTCTGCAAAACATAATTTATATAGACTTTATACATATTCCAACATATTTATCAATAATTATCCATGTTTTGTGCTCAAAATAAGTGTGTAAAATGTAGTTATCAATGAGCATGGCCAAATTGTAGAGAGATGGAAGTTGAGAGCAAGCAGTAGTTGACCTTGCTGAGCCAATATAAAATAAGACACAATGGCTAAAAGTAGGAAAAAATTGACTTTAAGTGCAAAATATTTTATCGTGAGAATGTGTGGTTGAAAATGAGTTTGAAAGAAAAAAGCGCTTTGTTTTAACGGTTGTCGAACAAGGGCTAAAGAGGGCAATATTTCATCTCCTGTACAACAAGTGGCAATGGAACTTGAAGGTTTGAGGAAATTCAATAAACATCCATGGGCCAATCAGTCTGTGCAGGAAGAAAATGTTGGGTTAATGAATAATCAAAGTGAAGTATCAGATCTTTATATTGCTCCAATCACCTCAAATGACTCGTATTCTATTCAAATGGGTCCTTATACAAGCACTGGGGAATTCTCTAGACAATATAGCTCCCACAGTACTCGTTTGATGTTCCATTAAACAACCCTCGATGATAATAGTTCATAGACATCATTCTTGGTTTACGTTCAACAATGGCTTGGATGGGATAATCTACAATCCATCTTACGAGTCATCACTTCTTTGTTTCAACTCTTCCTGTCCCCATTATTATTATTTTTATTTTATTTTTTTACAATTTGGATTTCTTCTAGTGAAATCTCTTTACTGTCTACTGAATTGTTTTTTTTTAAAACAAAAAAACTGTTTTATGAAATCATTTAAATGTTTAATGATTATCTATGAGTGTCTTCAAAGTCTTATGGCTAGACTAAACGTCCACTAACTAAAAAAGTATACATCAGTACTGGACAAGGCTGAAAATTTTCTACGCATTTGCAACACAAAAGATTTATAAATAAAACCTTATTTTTATCTCACGACTCATCCGACCTAGCCAGGATTTGAAAGCAAAAACAGCCCAAAACTTCTTTTTCCTTTTTCACCTAACTTGCATGTTAGATTCAATTAGATCCGGTCAATAGAATTAAACTATTGGCAGCTTCTTTTCAAAAAAGTAATCCAGAAAATTTGGTGAATTGATTACTGTTTATTTGGCTTTTAATTCACATATGATAGGCCTCCAAACCTATTTATGAGATTTTATTTAAAATTTTAAATGGTTTTGGTAGTCGATCTATATTTTATGTTTCTCATAAATTTTATCCTATTGATTTTAACCATTTAGCCCTTATTTGAGTCTTATTCTTGGGAAAAAAATGCATTTTAAATAGTATTTTGATATCATTTCAATCACATATTCTTCAATAAAATAATGTTACACGTAAATTCAAAATTTTTTCTTATTTTTTAATCACATTTCACATCATTATACTGTTGAAAAATGTATTTTTATGGCAAAAATGGGACTCAAACAAGGGCTTAATGTTTATCAATCATGAACGAGTATTCAGTAAGTTTATGTTACTATCAATATTATCATCATGATGTAGTAATTTCACTTAATTGCTCAAATTAAGTGAACCAATATCTTTAGCCATTCATTTGAGTTGAGGTCAAGTATTAAAACATATTTCATAACAACAATACATCAAATTGAAACTGTCATAGCATAAATATAGTGCTTGAAAACCATGTAATACAACATAAAACAATGAATCATTGCTTATTTTCGAACACCATATTTATTTGTTATAATCGCAACTTTTATTTACAATATTATTATATAGAAATTCCTACGGACAAAAATTCACAATGTTACTATAAAATTATTTGTTTTTAACTTGTATATATCAAATAGAGTGTATCTTTGTATAACTTCATATTATTTGTTGATAAAAACGTTAAAAAATTATGTACTTCTAAACTAGAATGAAGTCTTTGTTCAGGAAAACGAAAAGAAAAGTCGCTCAGAATAGTCAATAACACAAGAAGTCAACCTAGGCGGCTCAAATATTTTTGGGAGGGTTTGGCCAATTCCTAAGCCACGCAGTGTACTCAAACTCGAAGTTATCATTAAACAACAGAAGTCAACCAAATTCGTAAGAACATTGTTTTATCAACCGTGCTACACGAATATCGGGGAACATCGCATACACACACATGAAAAGTCGGACATTATTTAATTCATATGGGACCCACGCATCCATATGAGTACGTGGTCATCGGTGCGGTCATCTTCGCGGTTCGTTTGACTTTATCCTTGTTTCATTCATTCATTTTTCGGTATCAACTTGTCAATACCGTGTAATTAGACTTTTATCTTTAATAATGTTAATCTAATGTCATGATACTTTAATATTCTTCAAGTGGACAACGAGAATCTACTTAGACTTATTCAATGATAACGAATTAAGATTTATTTTTTCCTTTATTGAACTAGTCTTGGTTGATCTCAACCGTTAATTATAATGGTGCCACTTGTGCTGAACAATGTTGCATCTTTTTTGTCCTTTATTAAATTTTTCTTACTTTTTAATTACACATTCTCCAACAAAATACTATTCTAAATACATTTTGACAAAAAAAAGAAAAAAGAAGAAGAAATGTGGCTTAAACAAGGCTTAATAATGTTAATCTAATGTCATGGTACTTTAATATTCATCAAGTGGACAGCGTGAAACTACTTAGACTTATTCAAGTAAAATTGCATTTTTCCTTTATTGAACTAGTCTTGATTGATCTCAACCGTCACTTATAATGGTGCCACTTGTGCTGAACAACGTTACTATTTTTATTTTATTTTTTCATTTTCCTTTTATAACCACTTACATTCCATTCGACAAATTTATAAATAGTTTATAATTAGAAATTACTATAAGTCTCACAAAATGTTTGAAATTTAATAAATAGTAATTATACATGTGTGATTGAAATAAGTGTTTGACTTTAATTGAATTTATAAATTGTATTACATACCAAAGCTTACATGCTACAATATTACAGTATGCATAAGTTAGAACTTGTTTCGTACAGATTTTAAGCTAATTAAAATTAATTTTTGATCATTATTTCACTATTTTCGCCGTCATTTTTGAATTCTTCTCTCACAAGTAGAATCCACTTTATCTCTAATGGTCAAAAAATTAATTATCAAAATCTCTATCAAACAAGCACTTACTCACATAATGCTAAATATTAAAAAGTAGAAAATATTAAACTTCCATCACTTACTATTAGCTTCTCAATCGATAGTCAATGAACAAATCATTATCGTTAATGTCGATGATACTACGTATGTACAATATTGTAATAAGATGCAAAGATAATCAACGAAGATATTGCTATCAATTACCAACAGAATAGATTCCACTAGAATCATTAAAAAAATATTATTTAATTATTTAATATTATATATGAGTATTTATTAAAGATAAAATTGAATTTTCATTCATTATCTTAGTTCTTTCATTTTCCATCAGCCGACCATGGAATATGAAATATAGCCTGTGTTCGCCCCCCATTTTTCAAAAAATTTATTTTTTCAAAATCCATTTTCAATCATACATTCTCCTTTAAAATAATTTTACGCTCAAATCTAAAACTTTTTATTACTTTTTAACCACTCATTATCCAATAAAACACTATTCTAAAATGCATTTTCGCCAAAAAAAAAAAAAAAATGGGGCTCAAACAAGGGCTTAATAATGGATCCGTTTGATTGCAAGAATGGAATTTAAGTGGAAAGAAAACGAATTTCAGGTAATTGAATTGTTTCAAAATTATTTTGATAAGAATTGTCAATTAAATGTGTTTAATTGGTATAATTTTTCATCTAAAAAATATTAAAATTTTGAATCTTTTAGTATTCGTTTAACTTTGTTTTCCATAAAAATTGTCAACTAAAACGATATAATTTTTTACCATTGTGTTTAGAATTTGTTCCCATTACTGAAAATAAAAATAAAAACAAGAGTTGGAAAACCACTTTCCAACCAAAATCCAAAGCATTTCAACTCCTTAAAACCATGGAAAACGGGGTCACGTGGAGAGGGAGGTGAGTTGGGGAAAACAAATTTCATGGAAAAAAATTGCTAACAAATATGTCATTTTGGTGGAAAGTGAAATTCGATGATATCAAAGAGGGCCTTAATCTAATGTCATGGTACTTCAATATTCATCAAGTGGACGGTGAGAATGTACTTTGACTTTTTCAATGAATTAAAATTGTATTTTTCCTTTATTGAACTAGTCTTGATTGATCTCAACCGTCACTTAAAATGGTGCCACTTGTGCAGAACAACGTTACTATTTTTTTTTTTTTTCATTTTCCTTTTATAAATAGAAATTATAAGATTAATGGTAGTAACACTCACGAAAATGTTTGAAATTTAATAAATAGTAATTATAAATGTGTGATTGAAATAAGTGTGACTTTAATTGAATTTATGAATTGTATTGCATACCGAGGCTTACATACTACAATACAGTTTTGAAAGTGTGAATAAAAATGGCTTGATGAATTTTAATGAAATTCATTTTTAGTTATACGTACCTTCATGAACCTACCCGTTTATAATCTCAAAATTTAGTGAAATAGGGGATAAATATCTTTTGCAAGGTTAACTGATCTTCACTCGAGTGAATGAATGAATATTACGTCAACTTCTCGGTAGACTTGAAAAGACCATAACAGATTCAGTATATATGTTTGTTTATCCTTAATTTGCTTCCATTAATGGAGCCACTCATAAAAATGCAGAAGAAATTTCCGAAGTGGGTTACCTGTATTTGTTTCTTTTGGATTATATCAGCTACAGCCGACACAAATTCTTCATCCGCCTCAAACACCACCATAATATCCACCATTACCAAAGGAGACAACATCGCCAAGCCAAACTGCCCACGCCGATGCGGAAATCTGACAGTCCTATATCCTTTCGGCATCGGCATAGGAGGAGGCTGTGCCTTCGGTGAGTGGTTTGAGGTCAACTGCAGCACCGCCTACAATCCTCCCCGGGCGTTCATCGCACAGGGTAATATCCAAATTTACGATATTTCTGATAGTCAAATGCGTATTTCAAATGTAATGGCGAGTAAGTGCTATAATGAATCCGGTGATGTCGTGGACGAATACACTGCGTGGACGAATATTACAAGGACCCCGTTCAGTTTCTCGGAATCCAACAAATTCACCATGATTGGGTGCGATGACTACGCTTACATGACGGGAGGCCGCGGCAGCGAGAATTTCACTACTGGATGTCGTTCTCAGTGTTACAGCGCCGAAACTGTAGTGGACGGATATTGTTCCGGCATTGGTTGCTGCCAGACACCGGTGCCAAAGAGTTTGAAGTACTACAATAGCAGAGTGAGTAGTTTTAATAATCACACAGGCATCGCATCATTCAATCCCTGCGGCTATGCATTTCTGGGTGAGCAGGAGAGATTCACCTTCCGTGGCGTCGAAGATTTTTTGGACACCAATTTCAAGAACAGGATCAAGAAAACTGTCCCCATTGTTCTAGAATGGGCACTCGATAATATAACTTGTAACGAAGCTCGATTTTCCTTGGACTATGCTTGTAAACAGAATAGTTTCTGTGTTGATACAAATAACGGTCTTGGAGGTTATCGTTGCAAGTGTAATGAAGGCTTCCGAGGAAATCCTTATCTCAGTCCCGGCTGCAAAGGTTTGTTTTTAATTACCATTGATGCATGTTGAATTACTGTACTAAAAGTTAAGTTCTCTTGAACAAAAAATGTATATCAACTGTTAAGTAAGTGACTTTTATCTTGTGATTGACATTTCTTTTGTTTTCACTTTTCCCATTATTTGGTAGACATTGATGAGTGTGCAGAAAACAGCAACACCTGTGAAAAGATATGCATTAATACACCTGGAGGTTTTAACTGTTCTTGTCCACACGGCTACTATGGGGATGGCAAAAAGGATGGACGTGGTTGCATTGCTTATAACTCCAAATTTCCTGTAATCAAGTATTCCTTAGGTAGTTCTTATGATTTCTTGAAATTGTTTAGCACACCAAAACAAAAATACAGATTCAAATATTCTTTTATTTAATTTATAATACCAATCTTTTCTTACAAATTCAATGTTCAGGTATCGTATTTGGGTTCTTGACATTAGTTATTGCAATAATTTGGCTATATATTATCATCAGCAAAAGGAAACTCATAAAACTGAGGGAGAAATTCTTTCAGCAAAATGGTGGTTTGTTGTTTGAACAACAGATCTCTTCAATTGAAGGCAACATGGCGTCAAGGACGAAAATATTTACAGCAGAGGAGCTTGAAAAAGCTACGAACAACTACGCAGATGATCAAATTCTAGGAGGAGGTGGTTATGGTATTGTCTACAAAGGAATTCTACCTGATAAACGTGTAGTGGCCATTAAAAAGTCCCGAGTAACGGATCAGAGCCAGATTGAGCAATTCGTTAATGAAATGGTTATTCTTACACAAGTTAACCATCGGAATGTGGTGAAGTTATTGGGATGTTGTTTGGAATCAGAAGTTCCATTGTTAGTTTATGAGTACGTTTCGAATGGAACTCTTTTCCAGCACATTAGTACTTGTGCAATGACTTGGTTATCATTGGAAAATCGTCTGAGAATAGCCTCAGAAGCTGCTGGTGCACTTGCGTATCTTCATTCAGCAGCCTCTAAGCCTGTAATTCACAGAGATGTCAAGTCTGCCAACATATTATTAGACGAACATTACACTGCAAAAATTTCAGATTTTGGAGCGTCGAGATTAATCTCCTTGGATCAAACTGAAGTGACAACGTTAATCCAAGGGACCCTTGGATATCTTGATCCCGAGTACTTCCACACGAGTCAACTGACAGAAAAAAGCGATGTTTACAGCTTTGGGGTGGTTCTTGCAGAACTTTTGACAGGGAAAAAACCCCTTGATATGCAGAGACGCCAAGAAGAAAAAAATCTTGCAACATATTTCATCAAGTCCATGAAAGAAAATCGTTTGTTTTCTATTCTTGAGCCTCGGGTTTTGAGGGAAGGAACTTTAGAGCAACTCCAATCCGTTGCTGAACTTGTCAAGAGATGTTTGTCCTTGGATGGTGAAGATAGACCTACAATGAAAGAAGTGGCAATGGAACTTGAAGGTTTAAGGAAATTCACTAAACATCCATGGGCTAATCAGTCTGTGCACGAAGAAAACGTTGGGTTAATAAAAAATCAAAGTGAAGCATCAGATCTTTATACTTCTCCAATCCCCTCAAATGACTTGTATTCGATTCAAATGGGGACTTACACTAGCACTGGGGAATTCTCTGGACAACATATCTCCGACAGTTCTCGTTTGATGTTTCCTGTAAACAGCCCTCGGTGATAGTTCATAGTATACGTTCAAGTTCAGCGATGACTTAGACCAGAGTCAAATCATGTGGCGTTCCTCTTCAATACTGTACAATCCATCTTTCAAGTCAAGCTATCGCTTCTTTATTTGTTTATGTTTCTTCTTCATCTACAATTTGGATTTCTTCTTATGAAATCTCCTTATTGTCCAGTGATTAGTCTTTTTTTTGTTTTTTAACGTTTTACTAATTTTTTTGCCTAATGATTAATATCTAATGTACTATTGATTCAGTTAGATCCATTCAAAATTGAAAGAGTTGGAGATCATTATACCATTCAAAAACGTGAGAACAAACCAATATTCGTAATTCATGCACCCAAACAATATAGAAACGAAGAGAGAAATGTGAGACTCACCTTCTTTACTACATCGGTCTATCTTCCTCTCTACCTATATATTCCTCACCTCCACACCTCCACTCACTACCACTACCTCAACCCACGAAGACATTACCTATTATTCTCCCAACTCCATCCCTTTTATTTAAGAGAGGATCTTAGAGATATCTCCTGAATTTTATGGTAATATTATCCAGACGCCTCTCACATTTAAAAAATCATATTATCTTCTTTGTTCTAGTTTTGTGCATCACATAATTTTTTGAGCCGTATATCATCTAAAATGATGTTGATATACCTAAAAAATTAAATTTCTAGAATTTTTTGCAATATATTTGTTCCCTTTAAATTAATACGCCAGAATTCTAGATTGCATGCTAGTGAAAATTCAAACCTAATGAAGAATTTGGTGATAAATAAAACAAGAAGTTAAATATAAACATGTAATTTTTTATTATTCAAGTAAGCGGAAAAATAGTAAGAGTTAATTCATTGAAATGATATGCACCTTCACAATTTGTTGTTAAATGATATATAATAAAATGTTATATTAATCATTATGATTTGGCAGTGTAATATCGTTTTATCCCTTTTTGATCATTTGATATTTAATTATATTAATCGATATTTATTATTATTTTTAAATTAAGTACTATATATAATATTACTTATGAATAACTATGTCAAACATGCTCTATAATTTACTTTGAGCAATTTTAACTACAACTGATCATTGTCACAGATTTCATCTTTTCCTTTACAAGGGAATTTAAAATATAAGTCATCAAGAGTGTGTAGATATTCAAAATTAGAAATAAGGGAGCTTAGGGTAATGTTCTAAACATGATGGGGGTGTCTCTCATACATTTTTTTTTATTTGAAACACCCAAAATAAAAAATCGGTAATGATCACAATTTTAAACATGATGGGGGTGTCTCTCATAGTCATATAGTCTCGATATTTTTTAAAAATAATTTTAAATATAAAAGTTGAACAAATCTTGAAACACTAGCACTAATTCTCAACCCTGGATGGGCCTAACAGTGGCTTCTTATAACCCATCTCACTCTAAAGATCCGAGTGCGTCAGATTGGAAGCCTTACATCCTAAATAAAATGGAACTCGCCCAATTTTAGGGGAATGTATTTAATTGAGACTTTAAAATTTTGATGGACTTTTTTAAAGTGACAATTTCTGTGGATTTCGTGAATCTTTTATAGGTTTGTATGAAATTAGTGGAAGACTTTGATAGATTTCAATTGACTTTCATTATAAAATTTTTATAGATTTTTGTAGAATTTTAAAAACTTTTGAAGACTTTCATTTGAAATAGAACTCATGTGAATCTAATAAAATGATGTGAAATTCTCACATACATTACGAGGTGTGTTGGTTCCCACAATTCTCTTTTCCTTCCCATTCTTCTTCCCATATAATAAAAAAAATTAAAAGAATAAAAATTTAAAACATTGATTAAGCCCCCGTTCGGTCCCCATTATTATTCTCACTCTTTTTATCTCTCTTATTTTCAACCACACAATCTTCTATAAAATAATATTATACGCAAATAAAAAAAATTTCATTCTTTTTCAACCACACATTATTCAAAAAATACTATTCCAATCATTAAAATTTGGCAGGAACGGGGGCCAAACAGGTGCTAAATAAATAATGATCAAAATTATAAATATATATGATAAACAATAAATTTAATATTCAATATTATTAGTATAATATACTTTTAAAAATAAATAAAAATAAATATATTTAAATTTAACTATAAATTCTTCATATAGAATTTTATATTTCAATAAAAAATAGATATTTTTCACAAAAAAAAAAGAATGAAAAACGAAAAAAGTGTTACAAGAATCCAATAATTTTTCATAGAAAATAGAGATAAACAATAAGTGAGAAAAAGATGAAAATAAATATAATCAATATAAAAAATAAATTTTAATCATACTTGTTCGTAGAAGGAAAAAGGAAAGAAAGATTGAAATATATATATATATATATATATATATATATATATATATATTGTGAAAGTTTTTCAAAATCTTGTGATTAATGAGAGATAAATTTTAAGATTTTATATGAGTATTTTCTGCTTAAAAGTTAGTATTCCAGTCATTAAAATTTGAATACCCCGAAACTTATAGAGACTTCTAAAAAACTTTAATTGAATACATCATAACTTTTAGAGACTTTTTAGAAGTATATAAAAGTTTCAATTAAATATATCGTGACTTTTAGAGATTTCCTAAAAGTCACTAAAATACACCTTGACTTTTAGAGAGTTTCAAAAAGTCTCAATTGAATACCCTTAAATTTTTTAAATCCCAAGAAGTCATTAAAATTCTCAATTGATTACATCCCCTTATTCATTTTTGAGAAAAATTGGTGCGTTTGACTGTCTATATTTTCCATACAAAAATGTCATTTTCCACCCAAATCCCAAATTTTGTGCTGTTTGATTGATATTTTTTTCAGAAAAAATAGTTTTCTAGTTTTGATCACATGATCATATTTTCCTTGAAAACAAGGAAAATACTTGCTTGCATGGGTGAGAAACTACTAGCTCATGGATGAATATTGATTAAAATCATATTGGTTATTGAGCGATTGACAAAAAACATAATGAATTATGAGACCTAGCTGGAGTAGCTTTTCTTAGAAGCCATAATTCATTTTCATTTCGTACAATTTTTTCCTATCTACTAGAAAAGAAATATAGAAAATATGACATTATCGTACTATTATAGAACCAGTTGTGTTCACTTGTAGCATGGTAATTAGTCGTATAATGTTAAGAAAGATTGTTTAGGCCTGTCATGAGGCTGATTTTTTTCTTTTATATCTTCAATATTGTACAGTCCATCTCATTGAACACATCACATATGTTCTACATGGCCACAAAAATTACAAGGCAGCTCAATCTCAAACCACCACTAATTTCCCGGTATGTCAACAGAAAACGAAAATTGTACACACCTCTCATTCCTTTATTGGCAAGATAGCCAGCATCAAGTAGAACCTGAAATGCACAAAACCAAGGGCGGATCTGGGGGATCCTAAAGGGTCAATTGATCCCCCAGTTTTTGAAAAAAATAAAAATAAAAATTCTAAAATTCTGCCTTTTTTTTAGAATGTCAAAGTTTAAAACCTCCACTATAAATATATAATGCAATCGATAATTTCAAACTTTGCTTTGTGCCTTTGTTTCTCTCTCCCAGTTTCTCGATCGCGGACTGTCAGTACCATTTACAGTTTACTCACCGTATAAAAGTTTGATTGTGACCCCTTAACCCAAAGTGTCTGGATCCGTCCCTGCACAAACTACTACCCTTCTGCCTAAAAAACTATGCCATGAAGGGGGTGAACTATTTACAATGTTGGTTGTGCTAGAATATAATTTTAAATATAAAAGTTGAACAAATCTTGAAGAAAAATGCTGTTTGTACAATGGTTTATTCACAATTTACATTACATAATTTCAAAAAAGGCTGAGTTGTCAGGCAAAAAAAGAAAAAAAGGAAATGAGAAAGTAAAAAGGAGGGAAATAGACATTGGGAACCACATCACCTGCTTCTTCACGCTAAAACAAGCTGCTTCAACCATTTTGGCCCAAATCCAGAGACACATTTTCCCCTTTTTCACGAAAATGCACTGAGAAATACAACATTAATTTCTGGACATACGATAGTGAAATCCAAACCACCGTGGTCAAGAAACTGCACAAATAAGATTTATTGAAGCCAACGACTGTGGTCGGCAAATTTCCCGACTCCTAAAGCCGGCGACTGTTGTCAACAAATTTCAAAAATGTAACCGGGTCCATTACATAATCTTTCTCGACGGCACTTCTCACGTCTCTTCAAGTGTGAATATTGCATTATTCGAACCAAAGGTATTTGAGTAATTTTATAGATAATTTTTCCAAGTTTGAACTGATGTGATTCAGGGACGCATTTTTATAGACAAATTTCCAAAATGTAACCGGGCCATGCTATGATTTATTGAAGCATTCGAAACGAATTCTGCTTGTGTGATATTTCTTTGAAGGTGATCGATATGATGAGCAAGCCTTTGATTTATCTTTGTTTTGGTAATGAGCAGGTTCCCCTGGTTCTGGACTGTGAGCTGGACATTGATTTAGAAGCGGAGCAGTGGCTTTCGTGGTTGATTTTCATCTTTATTCACATTGATAATTTTTCCAAATCTGTAGTTCATCGTTGGTTTTCGTATTTGTTAAGTATGTAGCTGCTAATGTTAATGAAATTGTCAATTAATAAAATGTCATACAGACAATTTTCAACTGGACTTTGAGCCATGCATGGAATAGTTGGGCTTCACTCAATTACATTAATTTCGTGAAACTATTAAAATGTTCTTACTTCAGTGTTTTTGATTTGTATACATCCTCACATAGTAGAAAGTGACATGTTTAATATCTTCCTGTCCAGAGGCAGAAGGCATGGTGGAATCCGGTGAGTTGTTGGTGGAGTCTGATGATGAGAATGTGGAGAACAACATGATCATTCTGGACGATGAAAATATTGGAGTTGATGATCTGATAGTGCCTGCAGTTGGTATGAAATTCAAAGATGAAACGGAAGTCTTCGACTTTTATAAAAGATATGGTTATGCCGTTGGTTTCCCAGTTCGGAAACGAAATTCGAAAAAAGACGACGACGGGGTTTTGAGATATGTGACCTTGACATGTAGTCGTGAAGGTCGTCGAAGTAGTACTACAAGCGGTTCTTTGAAGCCTCAACCAACAATTCAGACTGATTGTAAAGCGAGGATCTCTGCATCTTTCGATGTACTTGGTACCTGGAGAATAAATACAGTCCACCTTGAGCATAATCATAAAACCAGTCCTTCAAAGTCCAGATTGTATCGTTGTAATAGAGAATTGAGTGCACAAGTAAAGCGGAGGCTTGAAGTTAATGATACGGCAGGAATTCCATTGCACAAAAGTTTTAACTCTGCCGTTGTTGAAGCAGGTGGGTATGAGAACTTGACATACGTAGAAAAGGACTGTCGGAACTATATTGAACAAGTGTGACGACTAAGACTCGGAGAAGGAGATGCCGTAGCCATACAGTCCTACTTTTCAGAAATGCAAGTGCGATGCTCGGGCTTTTACTTTAGTATTGATTTGGACGACGAATCGCGGTTGAAGAATGTGTTTTGGGCGGACTATCGATGTAGGCAAGCATATAGGGAGTTCGGGGATGTTGTTACGTTCGATACCACTTACCTCACAAATAAGTATGACATGCCCTTTGCCCCTTTTGTTGGCGTAAACCATCACTGCCAATCAACACTGCTTGGATGTGGTTTGATATCGAATGAGGACACGAACACTTTTGTGTGGCTGTTCAGGACATGGCTTAAATGCATGCATGGTCAACCTCCGCATGGAATAATTACCGATCAGGACAGGGCTATGCAAAATGCTATTGAGGTTGTTTTTCCACATACAAAACACAGGTGGTGTTTATGGCATATTTTGAAGAAATTACCTGAGAAGTTTGGATATCACTGCCAATCAACACTGCTTGGATGTGGTTTGATATCGAATGAGGACACGAACACTTTCGTGTGGCTGTTCAGGACATGGCTTAAATGCATGCATGGTCAACCTCCGCATGGAATAATTACCGATCAGGACAGGGCTATGCAAAATGCTATTGAGGTTGTTTTTCCACATACAAAACACAGGTGGTGTTTATGGCATATTTTGAAGAAATTACCTGAGAAGTTTGGATATCACGTGGATAAGGGTTTGATATTCTCGACTATTCATGAATTGGTATATGATTCACAATTTATTGAACAATTTGAACAAGGTTGGAGAGTAATGATCGATACGTTTGAGTTGCATGACAATGACTGGTTGTCGGGATTGTATGAGAATAGAGGACGTTGGGTTCCTTGCTACTTCAAAACAACGTTTTGGGCTGGGATGTCGACAACACAGCGAAGTGAGAGTATGAACGCCTTCTTTGATGGTTATGTGCATGCCAAGACTTCATTGAAACAATTCGTCGAACAGTATGAAAGAGCACTACGAAATAAGGTTGAAAAGGAATTTCAGGCTGATTTTAAGTCTTTTTCACAGATGGTACCATGTGCTACAACATATGAAATGGAAAAGCAATTTCAGTCAGTCTACACCATTTCCAAATTTCGAGAAGTTCAAGCTGAGTTTACGGGAAAAGTGTACTGTGACCTTATATCTGCTTCGCAGGGACATTTTGGGATGACGTATGAAGTACGAGAGGATGTTGTGTGTGGCAATCGCCGAACCAAAAAGACATTTCGAGTAGTCCTTCAGAAAGATACATGTGACATTACTTGCAGCTGCCACTTGTTCGAGTTTCGGGGAATAATTTGCAGACACACGATCGCAGTGTTGATTCGTAATGATGTTACCATACTACCGAGCCGCTACATATTGAGGAGATGGAGGAGAGACGTAAGTAGAGCACATACGAGGGTACCAGTTAATTACGCTGGTTTGGTAAGTACTCCTGGGCAATTGAGGTACGACAATATGTGTCAAGCGTTCTCCTCGGTTGCTGACCTTGCAGCAGACGATGAAGTCCGCTCACGTGCGGTAATGAATTGGATTGAAGTGATAAAGAAAGAGCTTATGATGTCACCTCCAAGTACTGGTAGTAATATCTTATCGCACAATACTTTTCAGTTACCCTCACAAGGTACTGGATCGCAAAATACTGTTGGTGGGAGCATAGGAGATCCTAAACAATCAAAGAAAAAGGGCGCGCCAAAGAAACTTCGAAGGAAAAGCCCGTTGGAGACATGTTCAAAGAAAACAAAGGTAGATATATTATTTCATTTGTTGGCAACCTTAAAAATAAATTATCATTTTTTCGAATTTTCTCACAGGTGTCGTCGACTGCATGCATAAGACAGAATAACCCAGCTCATGATGCACCAAAAGTTCAGGTATCTGAAGAACAACAACATGCCACGCCAACATCATCATCGTATTCACACCAATTCTTGGTACGTACATGTATTTCATAATTTTTGTTCGCATTGATGTGTTATGTATGTTGGTACTTTATGTAGGGCGGTGAGGAAAGTTTTGCATTTGCACCACATATACCATCGCCCAGTGCGACCCAGTTGGGTAAGACACATGCTATGTTAAATTCTGATGGTAAATCCTCATCCTAATTGGCTATTCGAACTTGTATTTTTTATTTGCACGTAATAATGTATGGTTTTGGAAGTTAGGTAACGTAGTTTACAACTACTATCCACATGCCCGTAATGCAAGGGACACAGGCTTGTGACGGGACGTCAAAAGGTAATATTTATAGATATACTTATTCTATGTTGAAACCCAAATTCGAAATAATTTAATTACGAGAAGTTAATTGGAATAAATGTCACCTAATGAGGGCAGTTAAGGACTACATGTTTAATTTATTTTGTGAAGGCAATTGAGCTTGGACTAATACTTGTAGTATATTCTTTGTACAGCCCAGTGGTAGGGAGAGGTTTTGTGCACCTCCATTAACTCTGGCCAGTTGGTTTCTGTTACTTTTCTGGATTTTGATGAGCTTTTGCAAGATTTTATGACTAGCCAGTTCCTGGTAGCTTTTCTGGATTCAACATATGCAGACAAGGATTTTATTCAATGAAATATTTAGCGGAGGAATGTATGCTTACTTTTTTGGTTAAAAGCATAGGAATTCTGTGGAAGTGATAGCCACTTTTGTTAAACGAATGTCAAGT